ACAGAAAATTTATTATAAATATATTTGATATTTTCATGACTAGGACATGAACTGTTATCTAATTCAACATAAATAATTTTTTTGTTTAATAAGATACATTCTTGGATGTAAAGACGATTGATGGCATTGATGTAGATTGGGGTTTGCAGCCATTTTTGCTTGTTGATCATTTGAAAAATTTGAACTAGTATAGAAAAAGATTGGAAAATTAATTCAAAATAATAATAAATTACTAATGGGAATTAAAATGGAAAGAAAATTTAGGAATTACTACTAATAATAATAATTGAAGAGACAATTATTATTAGTAGTAATAATTCCTAAATTTTCTTTATTCAGATTCTATAATAATAAATATTATTATTATTATAGTCTGAATAAAGAAAATTTAGGAATTATTACTACTAATAATAATTCTCTCTTCAATTATTATTATTAGTAGTAATTCCTAAATTTTCTTTCCATTTTAATTCCCATTAGTAATTTATTATTATTTTGAATTAATTTTCCAATCTTTTTCTATACTAGTTCAAATTTTTCAAATGATCAACAAGCAAAAATGGCTGCAAACCCCAATCTACATCAATGCCATCAATCGTCTTTACATCCAAGAATGTATCTTATTAAACAAAAAAATTATTTATGTTGAATTAGATAACAGTTCATGTCCTAGTCATAAAAATAGAAAATTTATTATAAATATATTTGATATGTTATTTAAATATAAAATATTGCCAACAGAGAGCAAATTATCAGTTTAAATAATTTTTTCTTTCCACTGTAGTTTGCAGCATTGTGTTTATATTTAATTTTGAAATTTTTACTATTCTTTAAACACACAATATTTACTACTTAAATGAATATTATTATACTTATTTTTTAAAATATATATTAAAAATCCTAAGTCACTCATCAACAAAGTGCTTTATAGAAGCATAGGTTATTTAAAATATTCGTCCGATAACACAATATTTATCACGTCATCAAATGAATCGTAATTCATAAATATTTATTGTGTCGTTTGAACGTTAAGAATTAAGATTATAGATTTACGATTAATTAACTAATACGTTTCTATTTACTGATACGACCTTTGATCCTCAAGTTTATCTAATTATAATTTCATGAACCTTCAGATATTCTAACCAAGAATAAATAGATGTGACCTTGCAATTTGTTTTTTGAACTTGATAATAAACAAGAAATGAATTAGGCAATTTTTTTTCTTTAATTTGATTAATTAATAATGTAAGAGTATATTATTGATTTAAGATTCATTTTGGACAATTTGTATTTATTTATGTAATTTTTTTCCAATTAATGGAAAGAAATGAAAGTTAAAAATCTTTGAGTATATTTAAAAGTTTAAATTTGAATTTATAATACTTTGTTTATTTAATGACATCAGATATTTCTTAGATTTTCAAATTATAATGCGCGAATAATATGAAATTAGTTTTAACAAAATTTAAATTTCTAAATGTAATGAATATATTTATTTTGTTTAACACAATAAAAGATATTTAGACAATTTTATTTTTGAAACGGGGGAGTCGATCCCCCGTTAACACTGTTGATTTTTCCGTTTTATATGAATTCCATGTTGTACGAGTCACTTAGATTTTACAAATACATGAGCCGTTAACAGCCCGGCACATGTATTTGTAAAATCTAAGTGACTCGTACAACATGGAATTCATATAAAACGGAAAAATCAATAGTGTTATGGGGGGGTCGACTGTATATAAAATATTCTAATAATGAAAATGGTGGAAATAAATTAAGTCATATTTAATTAAAGTTCTGCCTTTGGACTGAAAATCTAAAGCTCGTACGCTTTTCTTTTAAATTTTATTACTCAGAATTTTGCGTTAATCAATGAATGAGTAATAAAAACTCTTAAAATTGATGTAATATATCTACCAAAAATCAATTATTCAAATAGCTTTAGTATTTAACATTGAGATTAATATATAATAATAATGGCTATGGTAATTGCTACTATATGAAAATCATAAATCATTACTTCAATGTATATCTTCAATACAGCAATTACAACATTATAATTAATATTTATATTATATAACTTCTAATTACATTCAGATCATAAAATCATGAAAGATTATTTATGAATCTTTCAGATTTAGTGACGGATGAATTAGTTATGTAATGAATTTCTGATTCTTAATTATAACATATCTGATTTGTATGTGATAAATAACTTGAAATATTTCTTAATTTTTGCTATTTTGATTATTGAATCACTTGAATTTAAAAATATGATTATAAAATTTGTTTTTTATTTTACTTTGTGGACATTAAAACTAAACCATAAAAGTAACATATTGGCATTACATATTTATAGATTGAACAGTAATATATTTGATTAAGTTTAATTTATTTTCACAAACAGATATTCTATGTAACTTTTGTAGTTTACATTAGATTCAATGCAAATATTTTTAGAACAAAATAAAGGTATTTTAAGTAATAAATCAAAAATAATGCAAAACACATTAATTTAAGTAATAGTATTGTCAACAAACCTAATTATATAAAAACATTTTCTCTCACTAAAATATTCAGTATTTTACAAACAAAATAAGTGAAATATACAGTAGAGCAGTGTTTTTCAACCTGTGGGTCGCGGGTAAAAGAAAAAGACAAATGTTTGTAGGTCCTACACTACAATAAAAAAAACTACAATTTCAGTGAGAAGGCTGTGCCTGTTTATTTTACAGTACAATTGGTTTTTTGATTGATATTTAAATCTCAACAGAAAGAAAATTTAATACGTAGTTTTTAAAATCACTGACATAGTTTTAATATGGCCGTGGGGGATTGCCAGAATTTTTTAACTTATAAAGGAGTCTCGTATTCAAGAAGGTTGAAAAACACTGCAGTAGAGCATTGATTATCCGAATATCGATCAACCGAAAGTGTTCCAGTTGGCAAATTTAAATTTCCGCTAGGCTGTGGCACTGCAATATTTGGCTATGTCTTGGACTATCCAATATTATTTTTGTCGGTGTGCGCGTTTTAGCTGGCAGCACTAGCGTGACCAAGAGGGTACTTAAGGACGTGCCAGAATTTGAAAGAATTTCACCATGGGATAGGTTAATATATTTTTTTGTAATAATCAATTATACAAACAAGCCCAGTTCCGAATTGTTTCTGTTAATCGATTCTCTACTGTAATTGCTTGAATACTGACAAATGTATGGGATACCTGTCATCTTTATGTACATATACTTGGCCAAATCATAGCTTGCAAACAAGTGGTTCTTGAATGTCAATGCTGCAGTTTGTGCCGCATCTTGACAGATTCCAAGAGAAAAAAAAATATTATTGATGATATCTAAGTTATCATTTTTGAGAGTATATTTTAGAAAGGAAAATTCCTATTTACATCAACATCCATACAATAAATTAACAATCTGACTAACAAGAATGATACCATGACAATGTCATGTTGTGTTACTACATTACATTCTTTATGAATGGTCTTTTCTTCCTTAGAAAAACATTCAAATTTTCATATACAATTTCTGAATGATCAAATTTTATTCATCATTCAGAATAATAATTTCCTAAAAATTAATTTTGCAAAATAATATTTATAGTAAAGTATATCGTAACATGATTTAAATGGAAGAATGTTACAACAGATGGTAATTATTAAGTATATGCTAAAATTTTACTAAGAAAAAATAACCACGAGAGAGAGCAAGAGAGAGGGAGATTCTTTTTTTTGTAGGGAAAAATTTGCTTTTGTTGGCTTTGCTTAAGTACTTTTCTAAATACTAATTCTGAAACAACTTTAAATGCAATCTCAATTTGAAAGTGACCAAGACTTTTGTTCGATTTACCACATTCAATACATTTGCTATTGTCTCCGTAGAGATTTATAATTTTCTTCTCTTTATAACTATCACATTTTAACCAAAAATTATGATAATATATTATTGTAACAATATGATAAATGATTTTCATTCATTAACTTTGAAGTATTGATAACATTTCTCCATTTCAAATGATGTTTCCCCAGAATAAAATTCTTAACTTAAAGTAACTCTATATTAAAATCTGACCACATTTTTTAATAATTCAATGCTTTTCTATTTTTAAAACTTCAGTTTTAAATTCAATATTTGGGACAGATCTGAATCTGAAATTATGTAACTTTTTGAAATTTAATTTTCATAATTCTGTGTCTATTACAGCAAATTGCAGCTGAAATTAAATACATGGGATGATCTGTTCCAGTTTTTTGACACAACTGGATGTACATATTTGACTGTCCTCTTCAATTTCCATACATTCCACTTATTTAACTCTTTAATCACGAGCCCACCAGTGGCCGAGCGGATAAAACCACTGAATACTGATAGTTAGTCGTGGATTCGTGCCTCAATGGGCCAGTCACGTGGCCAACTTGTAAAAAAGGCCAGTTTCCCATAAAAGACCTCCTGGGAGGCATTCCCTCATTGGCAGATTGGTTATGGCAACATGACACGTGGGCAAATAAATCGAAATCAACTAAGGCAATTTTAGTTGATTTCATGTTTAATCTATTTGAGATAAAGTTGGCCAAAGGCAAAGTTGTTTGACTGGTTTTGTTTTACAAATTCCCCACTATTGAAGCCTAGCCTGAGGATAAAAATAATTTTGTATCCAGATATATAAACTCTTAAAATATTTTTTCTTTCTAAAGAGCTAATATATTCTTGTAATGCATTAATATATATTGATATTTTTCAATATTACTAATTTTTTGCTTTTATCCACTCTGGTGAGTAAGCATTTCACATTCATTAAAACTCACAAAAAGGAAAGCTTTTCAAACCATTTATAGAAAAAAGGGCATTCATCATTTAATATCAACATACAATATACAGAGGAATCTTGTTATAATGAACCATTCTGATGGAAAGAGAATATTTAACTGAAAGATTCTGTTGTGGATTACTATGGAAGTTGTGCCAGGGAAAATCTAGAAGTTTTTTATAACAAGATTCCCAGTATATTATATGTATAAATTATTGAAAATACTTTAAGAGCAATTTTTTCATTCTCTAGTTATATATATCTTTCACGTAATGTTAAACTTAGAACAAACAGCAGTTGAAAGATTCGTTTAGCTTGTGTTTGTATTAAATAAAATAACTAAGTCATACAGATTGTAAATTTTAAACAGTCATTTAAGAAAACATCAAAGTAATTTCAAATATCTTGTAAGATTTAATTTACATGATATTATTAAAATATAAATTCACAATGAAAAAGCTTTTTTTAAAGTAATTATATTATCATTAAACAATTATTTATCAACTAAATCATTATAAAAGGTTAATTAATGAATAATATGTTAAATTTAAAAGAAGATTTGAATTAAATAGAACAAATTTGATTAATTATTCAATATCATTTACAATAATTTCAAATTGTAATTTAAAGTTTTGATATTTAATCATTTTATCATGCATTTATACAATGACTAAAGAAAAATTAATGAAAAAAAAATTCAGTTATTTCTGTCAGTCTAAAAATACTCTGTAATAGGGAATCTGTTATAGACTAATCAAAGTCTACTAGAAATGACTAAATATGACTGAAGTGCAAAGCTTAAAATTTGGACCTGTTTACAAAATATCTACGGATAGTAGATATTTATAGATAAATAGAACAAATTCTTCACTATATAGCTTAGTATTCAATAATAATAATAATAATAGTTTAACCCAAAAGTCTATCCGGGAGCACCTACATCCCAGCATCGTTAAAAAGTCCTATTTCTTGCCACTAATTACAACCAAAGTTACGAGCACTTTGGTAGTTTCACATTGCGTGCAGTTGGTTTTTGTGCCACGCTTGACAAGTTTTTTTTATCAAGTTTTAATCAAAGGAAATTTCAAAGTGAAGTTAGGTATCTTTCACTATTTCTCAAGAACACTTACTTAAATATCTGGAGAACTTATATTATAATATTTATTACCTTATTAATAACAAAATGTAGCGACGAGTTTTTCCATTTACACGTCAGTACGTAGTCGCCGGGATGGGATATACAGTCTCTGATCAGAAAATCGCCATCGTTCGACATTAGCTCTTCCGCTCTTTGACGAGGGATGGTCCCGTGATACCAGGCGTGACTTCTCAAATCGCTGTTACTTAGACTTAATTCCCATTCTAATGCTTTCTTTAGCTCTTCTGGAGAAGCTTCAGTACCAATCATTGGTTCCTTCAATCAAATACTTTTCATTAATTATTCATATATTGTTTTTAAATGACAAAATAATCTTTTTTTGTATATAATTTAGCAAATTATAATACAAGAAAACTAAGTAATCACTTGAAAATTTATGTCTTAAAATTTAAATATGATTAAATGCTAATATTTTATTCATTTCTCTCTCATCAATTCATACACAATGCAATAAATGTCAGAAAAGTTGATTGATAACGTAATATCTTCGGTTGTTATTAGTAATTTGAATATTATAATCTGCTCGACGTGAGAAGCGGACATCGTACAAAAACAAAAATACAGATCTGCAAATTTAATAATCTCCAACCATTTTACTTAAGCGAATGTGGCAATTGCATTTGATAATTCGTTTTGTTTTTTGTAGCATTAAAACAGCAAAATTATTATTACATTTAATATAAATGAAGTACGATAATGTACAGTACAGTAAACGTATTTACAACGTACGTATCGGTAACACACAAAAACTTAAGTGAAAGTATACTCGTGCAAAAACTGCAATAAATTAACAGTTTTTATACATCACATTAGTATAACAACGCTTTATAAAACAGTACTGTACATCTAGAGTTACAACAACAGACATCCAAATAATTCACTTTTTTGATTATGTTATATATATATATATATATATAACATAAAGTTAAAATATATTAAACTGTACAAGAATAAATCCGGCCGGTAGACATTTTTAGAAAGATAAGATCTCCGCACAATTGATCTAGCCTCGATAATCAAGAAACCGGAAAGCCATTTGTTCGGGCATTTCCGAAACGTATAACCGAGCTAAAATTTTCGACGAGAGATCCTCCTCTTCGCATTCGAGAAACGAATACGGTCTCGGCATTATTCGGCGAAAAGCCAATTTTATAAACGAGACCATTATACGTTCGGACGCACGCAATGAATCATGCAAAAAAATCCATTTTTTCATTATCTTAACCAATGTTCGGTGTGTGTAACGCTACGTAGAATCAATCACTCTTAGATACAGATACAGTATTTAGATTCAGCACAATGATACTGAATTGTGAGTATGATGTTACAGTTGTGTAAGAAGCAGTATCATATTTCATTATGATGTCAGAGGTTATGGGATTTGACTAGTTATACAATAATAAAATTTAGACACGTGAAACATCGGCTCCACTTTTTTGTTTATGTTAAAATTCAATCTGTAGCATTCAAGAGTTAATCTGACATCCTGCAACGAAAGAAGTGATGTTTACATTACGTCACATCCCTTTCAATTTTGCAGTAATGTCATCGTTTATAATTTATTAATATCCTTTTTAACTTTTAAATATATAATTAAATATATATACATTGTATCAAATAAAATATATATATATTTTTTANTCTAGAGGTTTGTTTTCTGTTTGAAGTAATGTGGTTGCAAATTTATTTAAGTCGTAACAAGATGGGGGATTTAAATTTGGAGTTGACATATCTGTTATGTTGATATTTGGTGAATGGCCGTTACTTGGAGCATTGCCATCTTTATAAATGGGTTCTGTGTATACATGTTGGCTAGGTAGTCTACTAGGTTTGGGTGGAGGGCCATCTCGCTCTTGGGTGGGACTAAGCTGAGGATCGCTACCAATTCTTGCCATTCCTTTCCATCCTGCAGGTTGATGATGTGGCCGCAGAGTTGCAAATCCTGCAACGGAAGAAGTGGCCGTTTTGTTAAAGGTGCCGGGATGAGATTCTGCCGACAAACTTCCGTCCTCGCAGGGTTGCGAATGTCTTCTTGCCAAACACGGACTTCGATCGGCTTCTCTGATATCTGTTTCGGCAGCCAGTGCAGCATAATGGAGTTGACACTGCAATCCGTATCTGCTAGCATAATATGTAAGTGGCATTGTACGGTTTACGGGACAATTTATAATAGCTCCAGAAGCGGCCGACACTGCTCTCTTATTACCTACATAATAAGTTACTAGATCAGGTACTGTATCAAAACTGTCTTCTTCAAACTGATACTGTACTTTCTCGTAGACTGTAAAGGGTTGGAAAACAACCTAAAAAATAAATTTTGAATGAGTTAAGGATGGCATTTGATTGGAAAATGTTTAATAATTAAAATTTAAGCAAATTTATAACACATTTCTATTTATAAAAACTATTTCCTTAAGTTGAAAATTAGCAAAATATTTTTTTTAATTTATTGATATGAAAATCAAGATAGTCTATTATAGAAGTTATGAAAACACAGCAAACATAATATTTTCATGATAAAATTTTGCTCTGTAAAAAAATTCAAACTCTCTGAAGGTATGGAGGACTCTTATAGAAGGAAGAATATATAGTACATTTTTTTTATGTTTTAATTTTGATATTATTTGATGATACACTGTTCTAAATGCTGCTACTTTTCTACAGGTGATCTTATATTATGATTAATAATATACTATTTATAACAATCATTGGTGCACATTACATATTCCAGTAATGTGTTTTTTGATCTCACTGAGCTGTTGCAGCAGTTGGTAATTTGAAATTTTTCAACAATAGTAAATTGTGAAAAAAACTGAATGCCAAGAGACACAAAACCTTTGAAATATCAAAATTTTGCAGAAAATACATCATTTACTTATCAATTCAATATTCAAATGCAAAAATGAATTTAGTACAATTTTACTTTTGTTTCGTTTATCACATAGTATATGCAGTAAAATAAAGGGCTATAAAGTTTATAATATACTTTCGAAATTTGTCCAAAATCAATTGATAAAGCAAAACACCATGCGAAAGTAATAAGAACTGAAAAAAAAATCTCAAAGTTTGCAAATACTGAAGATGTGGGCATAAAATGTTTTGAAGATTGCCCATGCAAAAATGAGTACAAATATAATGGGATATTTTTCATATTCTATTTCTTCATTATGCAAGCCAAGAATAAAACTTGCTTTGAAAAACAGTCAGGAGAAAATGATTGACTAGAATGTGCAAGAGAATAATTCTTTATATATGTCATTTAATTGAAATAAACATGAACGTAAACATTATAACTCAGTTTTTGTTTTCTACACTTTCTTCCTCAAAGGCAGTAAGAGGCTCTTCTTTTTTTTTTTTTTTTCAAAGCCCATCATGGGGGTAGTCAGGCAGTGTGAGGAATGGGACTCGACGTATCCACAACAGATCCCCAAAAAATTCCCGGGGTTTCTCGACTCATCTGGATTTATTCCTAAGTCTCCAGAATGGTAAATTGACACTGTTGCTCAGCAAACCAGTCATATTCCTGTTTAATTTAGTGAGATTGTTAAACTCCACCATACCAAATAGATTCTCACAGGCCATGCTTATACTAAAGTAAAATAATAAATCCAAAGATAATCCAGTAATAGTCACCACTGTCTAAGAATATTTTTATTTTTTCAACTTAATTATCATCATAAGTCAAGTAAGATCACCTTATTATGAAGTTTAGATTGTAATATATTAAATATTGAGTAATACAATATTGTGATAATCACTGATTGAGACGTTTAATTGCTATGTATTGTAACTCTCCATCTAGATACACAGTAAGATAGTGAATTATGCCAAATTCCATTACTATTTGGAAATTGTAATATTGATCTTCTATTATATTGCAAAATTACTTTGGGCTATGACAAAACTGTCTGTATTTGATAACCCAAATTATTTTTCTTTCTTTTAGCATTGTGTTCTTCTATTAAGAATTTCAATTATAGTCACAAAATGGGTAAATTTAAATAAATTTAGATTATTGATATGCAGTGATGATTATAGGAATCAATTTTATTGTAATCAAAGGTGGGAAAAATATATACAATTCACTAAAGTTCTGTATATACAGTAGAGCATCAATTATCCAAATACCAATCAACCGAAAGCATTCCAGTCGGCAAATTCAAATTTCTGCTAGGGCTGTGGCATTGCAGCACTCTTCCCCTCCCTGCCAAACTGAACTGTAGGCCTAGTTTAATGTATTACATTATATAAGGCAGTGGTCCCCAACCCCCGATCAAATGGTACCAGGCTGCCCAAGGAACATTAAATTATTTCCATTTTATTTACTATGGTGTATTTCCTAAGGTTTGTGCAACTTTTAATGGACGACAGAACAACAGAATAAACTGGACATAAGAAACACACTTCGGGTGTCATTGTCTCCTATTAACCCCAGAGGGAACCGTCTCGTTGCAATGAAACAAGCTCAGGGTTCTCATTGATTTAGCGTTCTAGTGAGTTAAAATGTTAAATCACATTATATTCATTTTTTGGTGTAACTGTATTTTATTTTGAAGGCATGTTTAAATACAATTAAATTAAAATTATTAAATTAAATCAATCTAAAATATAAACAATCAACGTCCCCCCCTCAGTGGGCCGCGGTAAAATATCAAAGGTTGACCGGTCCGCGGCGATAAAAAGGTTGGAGACCGCTGCTCTACTGTACCTCAGATTTTTCATTCAATTTAAAAACATCTCCATCGTTGCATAATTCTTAGCGTTGGTTGTGTGGTTAACGATAAAATAAAACCATTAATTCTAAAAAGATGTACTATTTTTAGAGATACGGGGCCTATAAACGGTATCTGAGGATATGCTATTTTTAGATTCTCTTTGTTACTAAGAAAAGACTATGGAAATAGTTTTTTTTACACGATTTTGGAGAAAATGGAATTTAGATAGGGAATATCCAGGTTTTTGCATAGCTCTGCTAATGAATTGCAATTCCTTCTTCCACTAGTGCTTGGTTGGAAGGAAGGAGGTAAGGCCCTCTGCATGAGGGCATGAAGGAAGTTATGGCAGAGTTCACGTAGTATAAAGGTTGGAAGCAGTGGCGCAGCGTAGTGGGGGCGGCAGGGGCAGCACTTTTAGGGGGCGGCAAAATTTCACAATAAATAATAATAATATCTTGTAAAAATTTGAACCATTTCATTTCATATTTTTGTCGCACCTACGATTCGGACCGATTGAAATGAGCACAGAATTTTTCAATACTTATTCTGTGACGAAACTGAATTTTAGTCTTTTAAATTGAAATACCTAAATAAGGGGGCGGCGAAATTTTCCTCCGCCCCGGGC